TTCTTCTTCTTCTTCTTCTTCTTCTTCTTCTTCTTCTTCTTCTTCTTTTAAAGCAAGAGAGTGTATGTGTATGCACAAAGTGCCTGTGTCAAGGAGGGAAGGGAGAGAGAATCTTAAGCAGGGTCCATGCTCAGCATGAAGCCCCACGGGTCTCCATCCCATGACCCTGGGATCATGACCTCACCCAAAATCAAGAGTCTGATGCTCAACTGACTGAGCCACCCAGGCACCCCTTTAAGTTGTTTTTAAGTTATGCTTACATTAGAGTTTTGGGATCTATTTAATAGACCGTAATTAACTTGAATTTGAACACATGAAACATTTATACTGGTTAATTGAAGCAATTCACCAACAGTGTATTTGGCACATGAACCAAATCAAATTTCATGTTGTGATTAGAATTTAGTGACAATGTCAAAGCATCTACATGGAGATCAGTATGATTGGTTGTTTATTTAATAAAGCACAGAGGCATCTAAAGAGAACAATAAAATGTCAGAACTAGTAAGAAAAGAAATGAGCAGTAACTGATTTAATGTAAGTGATGGTAAATTTGCAAAATACTGAAATTCTTGCTAAATTGTGAAATGAAAGATAACATTCGATGACAAAAGAACAGATGCCACCATACGAGAATATGCACATGATGACAGAACTAAGGTAAGGGACACCTGTTAAACTTAATTTCATTTCCAAATTTTGTGTGAAGTGTCTCAGAATAGGGAAAATCATTTTGAAAAATCTAAGAGCAATCTGGGAGAAAAATGCTTTTAAAGCTTGCATTTATCTTAGATGTTTTGCTGTGCGATATTCATTCACATACTGTTTTCTTTCCTCCTAAAACCGAAAGGACAATGCTTGCACTATGGTGATTGCTGCATCGTTGTGGATTGTCGAACACAGGGGCCCTGGTGCCTAGAGGTTAATAGAGATTCGTGTTCTCCCATGGCTTGTAAAATCACAGCGTAGATATGCATTTCTGTTCGGTTAGTGAGAAAGTGAGGCTTTTGTGGTGACACAGAAAACCTCAAGACTTTCTTTAATTCTGCTTTAATGTAAGTCATTAGAGCATTCCCTTTGCTGTAGGATAGTAGTCTCGTCTCAGATAGAAATTCCTTCCCTGCAGAAAGAACACTAAGCACTTGGTGCTAAATCTTCCCTGGACTGAACTGAGTCTGGCACACTGTAGTCAGACAGTAAATATGTATTGAATGAGTGAGTCACCATTTATAATTATTCCAACGTTTTTTTTTCCTTTTCCAAAGTAGCCTTCTCATTTTTAAAAATGTCTAGAGATAAAGTTCTAACACAGTAGATAATTCTGTTATGAAGAGGTTTCCAAATCCCATGTTAAAAAATTCTATTTTAGAAAATATTTAACATGGTAATATGGGGATACAAAGGTGAGTCAATTTTGATTCCTTGGACTCTTGAGGTCTTCAGTTCACAGTCAAATGTTTGGATGTTTTGATTTATTCTGGTTATTCTAATTAATGAAATAAAAATTATGGTGAACATTTATTGAGTGGTTACCCAGTCTCAGATCCCATGAAAGGAGCATTACATGGGCTTTTCAAAAGTGAATGTTCCAGATGACCCTATGGGGCTGTTGTATAGATAAAGTCACTGTACCTTTATCAGAGTTATTTAGCTAGTAGTAGACTATGAATCCGAATAATCTTGGGGTGCCTGGGTGGCGCAGTCGGTTAAGCGTCCGACTTCAGCCAGGTCACGATCTCGCGGTCCGTGAGTTCGAGCCCCGCGTCAGGCTCTGGGCTGATGGCTCAGAGCCTGGAGCCTGCTTCCGATTCTGTGTCTCCCTCTCTCTCTGCCCCTCCCCCGTTCATGCTCTGTGTCTCTCTGTCCCAAAAATAAATAAAAACGTTGAAAAAAAATTTTTTTTTGAATCCGAATAATCTTAAGTCCAAAATCTATTTTTGCAAGGCATTAAATTTTATATGATAGTATGCAATTAAATTTATTTTGATTTATTGCTTTAAATCTAATACTTATAACCTTTTGAAAGAATATCAGATTATAAATGTATGATTTAGGGAAATTCAGCGTGTTTACTTGAGATGTTCTAAGTGAGCATCATAATACTTACTGTTTTAATCATCAGCCACACTGTTTTATTAGTGACCTTCAGTACTGACTGAACCTCAGAAACATACTGGTATGAGATAAGAGCAGGATATTTTTGGGTTTTCACAGTGTGGATCAATATATACCGTGATCCATCCTCCATCCATGTGTAGATGTACTCCTACATCTTTGGTAATTATTGTTTCAAGTTTTAAATATTTGTTATTGTCCTTTTTTTCTATCAAATTAGGTTCCGAGGAAAATTTGTTTGGATTTCTTGTAATTACTTTAAAATTCAACCTAGTTTTACATGTGAGACAATGAAACCATGTATGGAAAATAAAAGGACTCATTGGAAGTCATATTAAAATTACATAACAAATGCCCCAAGTGTATGATATGTGCCTGATATTTTACAAGAATCATCACAGTAAATCTTTTCCCCATATCCCCACCTCCAGCCTGTGTGTGTGTGTGTGTGTGTGTGTGTGTGTGTGTGTGTGTGTAAAAGAGAGAAGGAGAGGGAGAAACAGAAAAAGAGAAGGGGACAGATAGAGGTGATGGAACTATTATTCTAATACTTGAGATTTTTATTGGTGTTATAAAAATGCAGTAAAAAAGTGAGAAGTATTTTTAGATCATTCTTAAGATGTCTTGTAACATCAATTTGGTATAGAATAAAATGAGATAGCATATTAGCAATCCCCTGGTCTTCCGGTAGAGAAGATGCAATACACTTTAATAATTAAAACAAGAGGGGCGCCTGGGTGGCGCAGTCGGTTAAGCGTCCGACTTCAGCCAGGTCACGATCTTGAGCTCCGGGAGTTCGAGCCCCGCGTCGGGCTCTGGGCTGATGGCTCAGAGCCTGGAGCCTGTTTCCCATTCTGTGTCTCCCTCTCTCTCTGCCCCTCGCCCGTTCATGCTCTGTCTCTCTCTGTCCCAAAAATAAATAAACGTTGAAAAAAAATTAAAAAAAAATAATTAAAACAAGAGAAAAAGTCTCTTCTGTGCTTTTAAAGAAAAGATACTTTTTTAGTGTAGGTTCAATTTTTCTTAATATTCAGTTTAGAAGAATTACTATATCTGAAGAAGTAAGTATATTATTACTGTGCTAGTTCTAGTGGATCAAATTGAAATGAACTATATGTGATTTTTATATAATCAATGCAAAACAGAATTAAGAACTTTGATAGCAGATTGGGTGTGAACAGTGCAGGTTCCGAGGGATTATTTTGTCAAAACTGTTTACTAAAGAGTTAACAGAATGGTCAAATATATGTATTATATGTATTTTATACAAGTAATATATATTACAGTAGAGTAAAATAATAAAAATGGAAAAGGTCAAGTCATATGTTCTGTGTGGAATATTTTCCTAGTTATAATATAAATTTATGTTCTAAAAAAGGAAGGAAAGAAATGACTAGGCTTAGCTTCAATATAATAAAAGGATACCTACTTGCTGTAAGTTCTTTTTATTGATAATAACGTATTTTACAGTTTTTAGCCCTCTGTCCACAATTGGCTAAGTTTAAAAACATGACATTATATGAAATGAAACATGCTTATGTAAGTGATGATTCATTTTTTTTCTGTAATTTACTGTTCAAAGGTTTTAAAAATGTTTAGTAGAAGCCTTTAAGAATATTTTATACGATACTTTCAATGCTGTGTCCCCTGCATTTGCTTTGACATGTTACATGAATTACTTTATTAAATAGTGATTATTGAAATGTTGGACAGTGTGGTGCATGCAATTAAAAACTGTATTGCTCTTCTGTACATGCCTACATGTAAGTGACCCCATGGGTCTCCCAAAGTGAGCCTTTAACATTCCAGAATTTTTACTGTGCATCTGTTGCTGGCATCTAGCCTCCCACCCACACAGGCTAAGTCCAACTAAATGAAGTTTATGCTAGCACAATAAAGTATGTAAAGATGAAGTAATAACATGGGAAGACAGTTACCTTATTAGTCGGGTTGCTGAAATAGCTTCACTAGAAGAATGTATGCACATATGTGAAAGAAAATAGAGTGTGTGTGGGTAGGAAAGCCTAGAAAGTAATTTATTCAAATAGTATTTCTTATATATCTTTTTATGTTATATATTCCAGATGGGATTTATACAGCTCAATGAGGACTTCATATTTATTGAACCACTCAATGATACAATGGCCATAACGGGTCATCCACACCGTGTATATAGGCAGAAAAGGTCCATGGAGGAAAAAGTCACAGAGAAGTCAGCTCCTCACAGTCATTACTGTGGTATCATTTCAGGTAATGCCTTCTCCTGAAAGGGGTTTAACAAATATGCAATGTGAGATGAATACACTAAATTGTTTTTATTCCTTTTCTTCCATCTGTCCATCCGTCTGTCCCTCTGTTCATCCATCACTCTTCTGGTTTTATACTTGCTCAAAATGTGGAGTCTCTTTGGTTAATAACAATTAAACGTATCTATTTTAGACTTCTCTTTTAGTTTTCTACAAAGTACTACATTTTAATGTCAAAAAATGGAAATTCACAAGGGTTCAGAGATTAATACATAACATGCATCTCTCTTGAATTGTGAAGTGTTCCTTGTAGTATACTATTCACCTCATTGGCACAGAAATGATACCGAGAGAATTCGAGATCTTCTGAAACTGAATACTGTGAGCTCATGGCCTTATTTTAGTCCACCTCTTTGAGAACATCATAGCTATCTCTTTACTTTGACCAGATGCCTCTTTTACTTCTTTCTTCTTTTTCTTTTTCTTTTTTTTTCTGTTTGACCCAAGTAAAAATCATCTTGGAGGTGAAAATTAACAGTGTAGTAAGAAGAAGGGTAAAGATTTATTTCTTCGAATTTGCTCTCACTATCAAAATACCTTAAATCTGGACTTTTCAGAAGCTCATAAACATTTCCAGCCATCAAATCCTAGTCTCTGTTTGTTTGTCTGCCAGTTCTTCACAGAAATAAAATGGGGCTGACTGTTTTGTCCGCTTTCTTACTTCCTTTGGCAGAGGTCTGTGTGTTAGCGGGAACGGTAAGGAAAATGAATGATTTCTATTATGTAAGGAAGACCTGAAAGCCATAGCCAGCTTTCAAAAAATAATTAGAAGTGTCCCTAGGAAAAATTTTTACACATCTAATCCAGACATCTCAGTGACTATTCACTGATACAAGAAATAGTTCCAGTTAGGATCTGAGGAAATAGGAATTATTGAAGAAGTTTTGGTGTAAAGACATAAAAACTTGACTTGCACATTTAAAATTAGGTGTGAGTGTGGTTACTGCCAAGATACCAAATCTAAAATTGGTTATGGTATTTGAGGCTAGTTTAGGTATATGACTTGTGACAGTCAGTAACATTTGCAGAGGTGATAGGATGTTCATATCATTGCTCGTTTGGGGTGTTCAGATTCAGAAAGAATTGTAATATATTTCTGTTTAAATATATTTATCTCAAATTAATGTGTGACTTCTGTTTCCCTCGTGAAAGCTCATGGTATCAGTCTGAATGGGAATCATCTTCAAAAGGGCCTAAGTGCACCTACCTCTGGGCCGCACTATTTGCTGTACATGATCGAGCCAATTTAAGTGAAACGCATCCTTCTTCTCTCTTCTAAGAAATACAGGCACAAAGGAGATAAAACTGCTCAACAGAAGTCATAGCATTATGAACAAGCCAAAGAAAGGCTCTTGTGTTGAGGAATGATAGCAACAACTTGGATTTAGTCCATTTAAGGAAATTGTCTTGTATGGGTTATACTAAATATCTGCGCTGTGCAACTTTCAAATCGTAGTCAGCTCCAGCTGTTCTAATTACTCATGTACAGGATGACACAAAGAAGGCTTTGTGTGCTATGGTCCACAGAGAAAAGATTTCTAGAAAATTTTAATTTTAATAGTTTTATAAGGCACAAATACACAGTTCATGTTTGACAAACATTGCTCATAAGGTTTCTATTTTTTTTTTTTTTTTTTAAGGCATGACTGTTCTGTATCATTTGACCTATTTAGGTCAAGCACTTACAGGCACGGAGTGTCAAACTATCGGTTGGATGATCTACTGAGTTTGCCTACTTTCAGACTTCTTAAAGGTCCAGAATTGAGAAAATGGTTTTAAAATTAGCAGTGTGTGCAATAAAGCCTTCATTTACTTATACCAATATGTCTAATTGTAGCTCTTCCCTTATGACTTCAGGCTGATGTATTAACATATTAAACACATGATTCAACTTTGTATAATTCGACTTTGCCTTTGTGCAATGGAATCAGAAAGTTTCCGTGTATTCACATTGATCTTTGCGCTGTTTCCCCTTCCTCCTTTTAATGCCTTAGGTATAGTATGTTGCTGTGTATTGACTTCATGAATATCTTTTCTGAACAGGAAACTTCATACTTTAGGATGACTTTGTTGTGTTCTTCTATGAAAACATAATATAGAGAAGGCACATGAGATTGAGAGCCAGAGGCCCCCCTGGGTTCAAGGCATAGCTTCACTTTCACTCCTGCTAGGTACTCTTTTTCCATTCCCTTAAACTTTTTTTTTTTTAATTTTAGTGTGGTTGACTTATAGTGTTATACTAGTTCCAGGTGTACCACATAGTGATTTGACAACCTGTACATTATTCAGTGCTCACCACAATAAGTGGAGTTACCATCTCTCACGCTGCAAAGCCAGTACAGTATTATTGACTGTACTCCCTTTGCTGTAATTTTCATCCCTGTGACTCATGTATTTTATAAACAAGAAGTGTGTACCTCTTAATCCCCTTCTCCTGTTACACCCATCACCCCACCCCCCTTCCTCTGGCAACCACCAGCTTATTCTCTGTACTTATGAATCTGTTCATGGTGTGGGTTTTTTGGGGTTTTTTGTTTTTGTTTTTGTTATTTTTTTAAGATTCCACATTTATGTGAAATCATATAGTATTTGTATTGCACTGTCTGACTTACTTAACTTAGCATAATGCCCTCCAGGTCCGTCTATGTTGTGAATGGCAAGATTTCATTCTTTTTTATAGCTGAGTGATAGTCCATTGAATATATATCCCATCTTCTTTATTTATTCGTTTTATGATGGACACTTATGTTGCTTCCTTATTGTAAATATTGTAAGTAATGTTACAGTAAACATAGGGGTAGATATATCTTTTTAATTTTTCATTTTTTTGAGTAAATAACTAGCAGTGGAATTACTGCTCTGATATGAGATATGAGATCATAGGAGATCATATGAGATATGATATCTCTATTTTTAATTTTTTGTGGAAATCCTTGGTGTTTTCCACTTTTACACCATAGCTTCTTTATTTGCAACATAAGCATGACCAGTCACATCATAGGGATAAAGAGCTAAATGTCATAGCTCTTATTTTCAAGAGGCAACCAATGTATTATTTTAGACAGACTGGTAAGTGAGTAATTATACTGAGGCATGATGGAAACTCTGCCACACTCAGTACACAAGAAACTAGGTTCTGATATCAGGGGCCTGAGCCGCAAAGATCAAGCAGCAGCAAAGATGACAGCAAGATGACAGACTTACATCTCTGGGGAAAAAGGGGAACAGCGGGTGCAGGTTATGATAATGGACTTTGGAGTCTCTGCCTGTGTTCACGAACTTAATGCTACCACTTCCTAGCTGTGTGATTTTGGAAAACTTTCTCTCCCCGCAACTTCATTTACAGTATACAAAATGGGGATAGTGACACCCAAACCTCCGGTCTGTTGTCAGAATTAAACGAGATCATGTGTGAAAATGAAAAACTCGTGTGAAGTTTTTAGTACATATGGTTAGAGAAGAACAAGTTTCAGGCAAAAGGAGCAATGTATGCAGGGGTTTAAAGGCAGGAGAAGGCATCAGCTGGGGGAGCTGAAGCCAAATGTTTGCAGTGTGGACGGGAGATACAACCTTTGAAAGGTAGTCATGGACCTGGATGATGAAGGTACTTCCTTGTGTGTTCGATGGTAAGGACTTTACCTGGGAGCAATATGTGGTCTTTCAAGATTTTAAGCAGGCAAGTGACATTATTAATATATATTACATTACATTTTATTGTAAACCTATGAGTATGTCTAGGACTCACTGTTACAAGTAGATTTATAGAACTAAAGAAGAATGATCTATTTGAGCAGGACATAGAGATCATCTCTATTCTTAGAGACATCTCTAACTTAACCAGACAACTACTGAAATGATTTCCATATGTCATCCATAACTGTTGTGGACATTATTGTCACCATGTGTATAGGGTATTATAGAGAGCACATGGTGAGCATTGATGACTAAACATTTTTCAGATTTCTTCACTAACTGGAAGTGTGTGGTATCAACTGTGTTGTTCTTATACATGCATATGGGTAGAAAACCGTCTCAAGATTTGGAAGATGAAAAACGAGCTTAGCATAGTTGATGTAGACCCTGAAGCCGTCAAAGAAAGCAACCTGATAAAAAGATTACTTCAATATGCATGGTTCTTACACAATGGTTAACTTGTATGATGGAGTCTACCATGAAGCTGAGATTCTTAAGAAACATTCTAGAATGTTCCATGCAGTCTATTTAACAATACCATGAAAATAAGGATGTAGCATACTGACAGATGGGGACTGGGACAGTAAAGGAAACAAACTTTTTTCTCTCTCTTACTTTGTTCCAATCTCTGTTCTAACCTCTCTCTTTTCAGGTGTTTAGTAACTTGTATTCATGTGTCTCACAGTCACTTCAGACTTAATAAATCTAAAGCTGAACCCATTACCTTCCTTCCCAAAGTCCCCTGTTGTTGTCTTCCACTATCTACTACCTGGTCACTCAAAGATAAAAATTGAACACCCCCCACCCCCACCTTCCCCGCTCCACACAAGCCAAAACAAATAACAGCAACAAGAGAATAATTCTGGAGTGCCTGGGTGGCTCAGTTGGTTAAGCATCCGACTTTGGCTCAGTTCATGATCTCCTGGTCATGAGTTCAAGTCCCACGCCGGGCTCTGTGCTAATGGTTCACAGTCTAGAGCCAGCCTGGAACCTGCTTCGGATTCTGTGTCTCCCTTTCTCTCTGCCCCTCCCCTGCTCTCACTCTGTCTCTCTCTCAAAATAAAAACATTAAAAAAAGAGAGAGAGTAATTCTAACCACTTCCCCTTTTTTCCCCTAAGTCAGATTAATTTTACATGTGATGATGACTACTTTCTAATATTTGCCTATCTTCTCATGCTTTCTATTCCTACCACTGCCTGATTTTTACATATAAGATCAGTGACATATCCACATAGGAGAGCTACGTCTGTATTTTTCCCTCCATGGTTTATTTGGTGTTGACTCTGCCAAAGTGAGTCTGTTCATCTACTTGTAGAAATGTCTGTGACTAAATATTACAAGTATATATAACAACATACTAATATATAACTAAGTACCTTTAAGATTATGATTAGAAAACTGCAGAATTCATTGCTAATTGGCAGACATCTCAAGATACAGATAAAGTCAATTTCTTATGCTGCCTGTCATCATCTTTGGTTTCAACTACTCGTACTAAATATGGATCTATAAAGTGTACTTTTAACTCTTGTGATCCTGTTGAAGATGGCTAGTGTTGTTTTTGTCTTTTTGCATTGTCATGATTCATGACATAATGCTTCTTTTCATTAAATAATGACTCTTTGCTTTTCTTTTTATAACACTTTCATTAACTGTGTTAACTGACTCTACTTGGGTAAAACTTTGTTTATCAAGTAGATTTTAGTCTGGGTCACTGCAAAAAAAGAAAAAAATGAAACTGTAGATTATGATGATAACTCAGAACAGTGAAGTTCCCAGTAATGGTAGTGGAATCCAGTTCATGTTAGATCTCAGAGATAACTCAGTTGGGCCTAGAAGGCAGTAATAGAAGGGAACCAATAGTTCAAAAATTCAAGATATAAATTAATTCTGGCACCATGGAAAGATGTTAGAGGGTAAGAAAGGTGGAATAGATAGTTTGCAAAGTGGAATAGAATAGACTTGAATTGAATTGACAAGCCACTGCCAAAGTACTTAAAACAAGACAAGGAAAGCAATTTATCAGAAGCCACCACAGTGGACTAGAATTATGAGAGTATGTACTTAGAAATTAAAAAAAAAATTAGAGACACCCAGGGAAACATGACTAATTGAACACACAGATTTATCTCCATGAAACTCTACTAAACACACATGTTTACTTCTGGGGATTCCATTAAAATTGTAGTAAAGAAATATGAAAGATGTTGGCCCACGAGTATAAGTTTGGGAAAGGAGGTGGTAGCACTTTAATGACATCAACCGAATTTTGGTATATGGCAAGGAGCAGAACAGGTAATCATTGATTTAAGAATGGATTGTAGAGATGGTTGCCCAACTGTAGAAATTGATTACAACTAACTGAATTGTACATCACTGGCTACATGTTTTGTCATATATATATTGTATCTCAGTAAAGCTGTTGAAATAGTAAGTTTCATTATTGAAGTACCCCATGCATACAGGAAATTGCACAAATGATGTGTCCCAACTGCTAAATTTTCCCAGAATGAACATAACCATGTAGTTATCACTCAGATCAGAATATAGAAAATGTCAGTACAACAGATGTCCCCCTAGGCCCATTCCTAGGCACTAATATCTCTTACCTCAAGATACTTACTCTCCTTCTAACATCATGTCTTCCCAGTTGTTATGTTTCTGTAAATGGAAGAATACAACACCTACTCTTTTGTCATTGGCTTCTTTGCTCAACATCCTTTTTGTGAGGTTCATCCATGTTCTTGCACATTGTAGTAGTTGGTTCATTTTCTTTGTTCTAGAACATTCCATTGAATGGGTAGGCCAAAATTTCTTTATCCATTACACTATTGAGGTTATTTAAATTTTTTTTTTTAACGTTTATTCATTTTTTTGGGACAGAGAGAGACAGAGCATGAACGGGAGAGGGGCAGAGAGAGAGGAGACACAGAATCCGGGCCTGAATTCCAGGCTCTGAGCCATCAGAGCCCTACGCGCTCTCCTAACTCACGGACCATGGTGATCGTGACCTGGCTGAAGTCGGACGCTTAACCGACTGCGCCACCCAGGCGCCCCGAGGTTATTTAAATTAAGAACAGTACTACTGTGAATAATTTTTACATGTGATTTATATGCATTTCTGATAAGTGTATCTTTCAGATCACTGATCACTGGGTATGCAAATGTTAAACTTTAGTGGCTACCGCTTGCTCATTTTTCAGTGTTTATCCTAATTTAAACTCCCAGTATGTATGTGCAGGGGACTTTCAGTTGTCTCCACACTCTTGACAACACTTAATATAATCATCCCTTTATTTTAGCCATTCTAGAGAGTTTAGGTAATTTAATTAATTGTGATTTATTTTATTTTATTTTTTTTAAATTTTTTTTTCAACGTTTATTTATTTTTGGGACAGAGAGAGACAGAGCATGAACGGGCGAGGGGCAGAGAGAGAGGGAGACACAGAATGGGAAACAGGCTCCAGGCTCTGAGCCATCAGCCCAGAGCCCGACGCGGGGCTCGAACTCACGGACTGTGAGATCGTGACCTGGTTGAAGTCGGACGCTTAACCGACTGCGCCACCCAGGCGCCCCTAATTAATTGTGATTTAAATTTGCATTTCCCTGAAGAGTAATGAGACTGAGCACCTTCTTACATGCTAATTAGCCATTTGGATGTCTTTCTTTGTGTGAAAAATGGCTGGTCAAGTCTTTTGCCAATTTTTCATTTGCGTTATCTGTTACTAATTTAGAGTAGCTTTTAATTTGTTCATTATGGAAAAGTATTGTAAATATCTTCTCCCACTTGGTGGCATGCTTTTCATTCTGATAGTGGCATGTTTTAATAAACATTTTACATTTTTATGTAGTTAAATGTATAAATACATTTATTTGTGGTTACTACTTTTATTTGGCCTTGTTTGAAGAAATCTTTATTTCCCTATGTGATCCTGATGGAAGGCAGAACTGAGTCTTTTGTAACCCATGCATAATGTTTTAGTAATTAAGGGCCACTGCCTGAAATGAGGATGTGTGAGGTAGTCACTTCAGGCACTCTCTTCAAGTAGACCTTTGTTTTGTCACTGGTTTCAAAAAGAAAATTGTGATTTTTTTATTGGATTATTTTATTTATACGGACTCTGTGCTAAGAATTTTACTAATGCAACCTTATTATAGGACATCAACACTAGAAAGTAGATGTTGCTATTGTTCAGATGAGGAAATCAAGGCTAACTGACTGATGTTAGTTTCCCAAGTAGCAGAGCCAATAAGTGATACAAGTCTATCTAGTCTATTTGATTCCAAAGCCACACTCCAAAACCAGATGTCCTTTTAGCTTCCATGTATTCAGGGAACTTATTTGGTCTTGCTTACCATTATATTATCAACATATCTTGGCATTAAATAAACATTTTTTTAAATGTTTATTTATTTTTGAGAGAGAGAGATAGAGAGAGTGAATGGGGAAGGGGCAGAGAGAGAGGGAGACAGAGAATCCCAAGCAGGCCTCACGCTGTCAGCAAAGAAACCTATGTAGAGCTTGATCTCACGAACTGTGAGATCATGACCTGAGCTGAAATCAAGAGTCAAACACTTAACCAACTGAGCCACCCAGGTGCCCCTTAAGTAAACATTTTGAAAAAATTATTGAAGAAACGGAAATTTTGTATTCACTTTGCCAATATGGAGTCACATTGGAAAATCCATTTCTCTATTGCAGACAAAGGAAGACCTAGATCTAAAAAAATAACAGAAAGTGGAAGAGGGAAACGATATTCATACAAATTACCTCAAGAATACAACATAGAGACTGTAGTGGTTGCAGACCCAGCAATGGTTTCCTATCATGGAGCAGATGCAGCCAGGAGATTCATTCTAACCATCTTAAATATGGTAGGCAAACTTTAAAGTGCGCTTGGAATTTTTTCAAGAAAACTCTAAGGAAGAAATGTGTGAGTATAATGACATTCTTTAAAAATTAATTCATTACTATTCCTTTCTTTTATTGACATCAGTAAAAAAATGCTTTGGGTATACCAGATATCTTAAAAGAAATATCAAAAGTAATAATTCACATCTTCTAGTAAAAGAAACCATCCTTATTGTTGATTTCAATGTGTCAAACTCTTTCTCTGTTATTCTTTTGTCTATTCTTTCATGAGCTTCGTTTCATTCTCTTTTATAAAAGGCCATTTGCTGAAATTAGAAATGTTATGTATTTTTTTGTACGCATGGCCCCACCCAAAGTATTAGACATTAATGTGGTGGAACAAAAATGGAGGTTGGTAATCCACTGATAGGTATGTAAAATTTGATGTCAGATATAATACTAGTTTATGAGTAAGACCTAATAGCAAATAGCTAAATTTTTTAGGCAGGTGGATCACACGTAGCTAACTTCAGTTAACACTTTTTGAACTGCAGAAATCTAGTTTGTACCTAGTATCATACAGATGTTTACCACCAAATGAATCCTTTGACTTAATTATATACCCTTTGGTTAAACTTTCTGCAAGGCAGAATTAAAAGGTCGGAGTGAAGAGCCATTCTTAGGGGAGAATGAACATCAATAGATGCCAAAGGCAAATGCCCATTTATGATTCCAGTTACCATATAAGGCAGGGTAAGAACCACTGATTCAGGGATAAATATATTATGTTTTGTAAAATTGTATTTTTACTGTTTTTGCTCATTTTTACTATTTGGCTTATTTGAGCAGGGAACACATTTGCCCACACTTCAGTCATTTCTTACCATGTTCAGCTACCTCCAGAACATTCCACCAGCAGTCTGTTACAGGGTAGGCTAATACAGCCTACCAGCTTTAGTTTCTTCTAAGTAGTTCTATCTCCAAAAGTATGGGTTTGACGTGTCAGCTTTCTGTTTTCTATTACAAGTTAAATAAATATTAAATTCTACAAAAAATGAAGTACCACATAAAAATTCACCTTGCTTTCCAGCCTTGCTGCACACACCATAGTTTGGGAAAAACAGTTATAATGAGGATCTGAAACCATTAATCAACAGTGGCCTGCAAGCTTGTCTTCCTGGGTAACATTGAAGAGAAGAGCTTTGAAAACCCTTTTCCTATTTGGCAGCTAGCTTAGAGAGAGAGAAAACTACTCCAAGGAATGAATCGGGAGGTGGCATAAAGCAGGCTCAGTTTTCAGGACTGTTTCTCAGAAAAAAGGAGGACACTGGCATTTTGTGGTCTTAAGAAACATTCTAGGGTTTAGTTACTAAAATGCTTGTCTTCAGTATTGTAAAAAGCCCAACCTTCCCTCTATATCCCATTGAAATGGCATAGACAATCAAGACTGCAGTGAGTTTCTCAGAAGGCTAGGTCTAAATTTCTTTGTATTTAAAATGAATTAGCTATGTTATTCTTGCTTATTAAGCTAATTTTAAAATTACTTAAGTGGTTTTAAATATAAGATTTCTCAACTAAATTGAGACTTCTCCCATATCTGGACTTTAAGAAAAATAAATATGATTTCAAGTTTTATTTTAGGATTTTTATTTTTATTTGTTTTTAGGTTTTTAACCTTTTCCAACACAAGAGTCTTGGTGTGCAGGTCAATCTTCGTGTGATAAAGCTTATTCTGCTCCATGAAACTCCAGTAAGAAAGTCTTGAGTTTTTTGTTCAATTAATTGGGTGAGAAGTTGTGTTCGGATGCTTTTAAGTAAAGTGAATGTTAGGAGTGTGGTTTTTATTGACTTAAAAATCCAGAAATATCCACTAAGTCACTTAAACTATACATAAAACTGGCCTTTAGTTTTGGTTAATACCTCAGTTTTATTCTAAAAATGGAATGTTCTTAGTTTCCAAGGATCCTGACAACAAACCTTAACTTTCCAAGATGTAATTTTTAAAAGTGATTTTTAATGAGAGTTTTCTTTTCTTAAACATGTGCTTTTGAAACGTTTTCTTATCTGTAATTCATTTCAGAGAATACTCTGTGGCATCATTTTAGTATGCTACTTAACTAGAACTTTGAGAAAACTTTGTTCTTAAATTGTAGAAGTAAAATTAAGTTATTTAAGCCAGAAAGTTCCACATTCTTACAACACCTCTCTCCTTTTTCAGAGTAACATTGAACAGATTTTGTAGTTATTGTACTTGCACGATTTTCAGCTGAGGCTAAATTATTTCTGAATGTCTTCCAGGTTCTAATTACTGTTGTTATGGTCAGCGGTCTGCTTTAGTAATTCAGGAAGTCTCGTCAGTTTTTAGTTTTTTGTATATCTGAAAATAATTTGCCTTGAAGTGAAATCTCTTCTCTTGTAGGCAGACCTATATATTGGGCACCATGGAGAGAAAATGCTAGAGAGTTTTTGCAAGTGGCAGCATGAAGAATTTGGCAAAAAGAATGATATACATTTAGAGATGTCTACAAGCTGGGGAGAGGACATGACTTCAGTGGATGCAGCTATACTTATAACAAGGTAAATTTTCCAAAGCCAATTAAATGACATTCCTAATTCGATGGCTGTGCTGTTAATCGGATTAATTCCTTCAGAGAATGCTTTTATTCCAGATTTTGTGTTCCAAAAAACTTTGGCATAATGATTTTAGTCATCTCCCTCAATTCATAATAACTGATTTCTGAATAGGCACATTTTGGATGGCATATTGACAAAACTTGTGGCTAGTTAATTTAAAAAATATTTTACCCTCAGGGCGCCTGGATGGCTCCGTCGGTTAAGCGTCCAACTTCAGTTCAGGTCATGACCTCACGGTTCATGAGTTTAAGCCCCGCGTCAGGCACTGTGCTGACAGCTCAGAGCCTGGAGCCTGCTTTGGATTCTGTGTCTCCCTGTCTCTCTGCCACTCTCCCACTCACACTCTCTTTCTCTCTCAAAAATGAATAAACATTAAAAAATTTAAGAAAATAAATAAAATTAAAAAAATACTTTACCCTCAATTTTTGAAATGAAGACATAGCCATTGATGATGGGAAGTGAACACTATGGTGAATTTTGGTGGCACTTCACAAAAAGCCTATATTGTATGTTTTTCAGTCATCACCATGGAGATAAAGCACCCAATATATTAAACTCAGTAATTGATAAACTTTCTGGTACCGCCTGAGAAAAAAGTTTCAATTAAATCTCTAGCTGATTAATTCTTGGCTCCACTGTGAATGTACTCCTAACAAACATTTGTCATGCAGCATTAAAGGCAAATATAAAAAGATGAAACAGTGAGCAACAATATACCCTTTATGGGCACTCTGTGTTAGTAATTATTCGTAAATTTTTTGTTTAAAGCTATTAAAAATGAATAGTAATTCATTATTCACTAGCAATTTAATATTAGCATCAGCAATGTTGACATTTCCCATCACAGAATACACACTAACATCTGAATATGATTTTCTGTAACAGGTCTGTTGAATTCATGATAGCATCTTATTGCTGAATTATACAAAAACTTTTCTAGTTCTGCATAATTCACGAAGGTGAAAAAAGTCTATTGTAAGAACACAATTGGACTTCCACTTCCAACTGTGTAGGTGTACCTGCGATTGGACTTTTAGAGTAAATAGCCATAAAACTGAAGAATATTTATAAGACAAATGCTTTTAAGTCACTGGAGGATGAGCAGTGCAAGACTGCAACTTTGAAAGAAGGAAAATTTATTAAGGGAGCCCCACAGTCAATCCAGATTATTGCCTGGGAACAGTTTTTTGACTGGTATAGCAAGCTGGAATCTAGGTAGAGCCCAGTGGTCCTGCTGAAGGTACTGTAGATGAGGATCCTATGCAGAGAATGATGCCAAGAAGCTTTTGTGCAGATCATCTTGGAGAACTTTGCAAGACTGGTCTGAATATCCATAGATAGAAACTTTCCAAAAGCATCAGAGTGCTACAGCTATGGAGTTGAGATTATTAAAGGACACTAGGAATTGAGTAGATTCAGGCCTTGAGAGTGGAGCGACCTTATTAGTACCTTGTCATTACTCCTGGTATTTAGCTGAAAAAACACAAAAGCTGAGCCTTCCTAGTAGGGACTTTGATCCAGAGAAATGTCTACTCCTGAGCTGCCCTAACAAAGCCTGAAACCAAGCACCTGTAAGGTATTTATGGGAGATAGACTGTGGAGGTTTACAAAAGCTTGGGAATTATCTTGAGCATTAGATAGATCCTCCCTACCAAGGAATAAACTCAAACCTCCCACATTCAGAGTGGTAGTAATTTAGGAGCCAGTAATTGAACTGGCTCCTAAAACAAGAATCAGTTCTCTTCAGAGGAAGATAAAAGAATCCTGAATCTCTGTAACATATCTACATTGTCTGAAACATAATAAAAACCAGTCAAGCAAAGAAACATGAAAATGTGACCCATGGTGAATGAAAAATAGTCAATAGAAACTGACCCTGAGATAGTTCAGATGTTGGATTTACTGATTAATGTAGTTGTAATTGGAATCTCAGAAGAAGAATGAGAATAGGTAAGAAAAATTATTTGGACCTACAATGGCAAAATTGTTTCCCACATTGATGGGAAAAAAACCCTTTATTATTATTATTAAAAAATTTTTTTAAACATTTATGTATTATTGAGAGACAGACACAGAGTGTGAGCAGGGGAGGGGTAGAGAGAGGGGGAAACACAGAATCTGAAATAGGCTCCAGGCTCTGAGCCGTCAGCATAGAACCCGACGTGGGGCTCGAACTCACAAACTGCAAGATCATGACCTGAGCCGAAGTCGATTGCTTCACCAACTGAGCCACCCAGGCGCCCCAGGAAATAAAACCCTTTAGATATCTACATATATCATAGGAAAATGAGTAAAAGTCAAAGATACAAAAAATGAGTTTTGAATTGTCCAAAGAGATGCATTTCACAGGGGAAACAATGTTAACATTGATGATTGACTTCCTGTCGGAAAAAAATGAATATAAAAAACAATAAAAATGGTATCTCTAATGTATGGGGCTAGGGGGAACCCTATCAACAAAAATTCTTAATGAATTCTTAAAAGTGCTTTCTTAATCTATCAAAGGGTATCTACGCACATATACACAAAAATGTACAGTTAACAACACACTTAATGTTGAAAACCAAATATTTTCCATTAGAACTGGAAGCAAGGCAAAGATATCAGTGCTTACCACTTCTATTCAGTTTTTACTCAAGATCATAGCCAGTTTAGTAAGGTGGGAAAAAGAAAAAAACAGTTCTTTTTTTTTTTAATGTTTATTTTTGAAAGAGAGAGAGATTTTGTGTGTGTGTGTGTGTGTGTGAGAGAGAGAGAGAGAGAGAGAGAGAGGAACAGAGAGAGGGGGAGACACAGAATCCAGGCTCTGTGCTGTCAGCTCGATGCAGGGCTCGAACCTATGAAATGCAAGATCTTGATCTGAGCCAAAGTTGAATGCTTAACCAACTGAGTTACCCAGGTGCCCCAAGAAACAAAAGTTCTAAATATTGGAAAGAAAAAAATAAAAAAATATTTCTCTTCACAGATAATATACCTCAGTTCGAATAAAATTGTAAGAAATATAGCAGAAAAATTGCCAGAAGTTATAATTGGATTTTTTAAGCACATAGAATATAAAGTCAATTTATAAACATTTTATTTAGGGGCACTGAAGTAGCTCAGTCTGTTGAGCATATGACTCTTGATTTCGGCTCAGGTCATGATCTCATGATTCAGCGGATTGAGCCCCACATTGGGCTCTGCGCTGACAGCTGGGAGCCTGCTTGGGATTCTCTCTCCCTCTCTCTGCCTCTCCCCCACTCTCTCTCTCACACACACACACACACACACACTCTCTCTCTCTCTCTCTCTCAAAATAAATAAATAAACTTAAAAAACAATTTTATTTATGTATAATGAAAATGTACAATTGGAATAATGTTATAGTAACTTCCAAAACCATAAAAAATATAAGAATAATTTTTAAAAATATGTGTAAAACCTCTAAAATGATATCTACAAAGCACTGAGAGAGCTGAGAGAAATTAAATATCTAAATAAAGGTTTTTATTTGTTGGAAGACTATTACTGAGATTTTCATCTTACCCACATTGAGTGAGAGTCACTATAATCTCAATGAAAGTCGGTGCCAGCTTTTTTTGTAGAAATTGGCAAGCTGATTCCAGCATGTATTTGGAAAAATAAAGGACATAGAAGAATCAAAACAATTTTGTGAAAGAAGGACAAATGGGGTGGACTTAAATTATCTGATTTCAAAACTTATTATAAAGATTTGGTAATCAAAACAATGGGATTTTGGCGGAAACTTCGCAGGATAGATGAATGAAACAGAATAAAGAATCTGGAAATATACCCATATATATATGGTCAACTGACTCTCAAAAACCCACCAGTATTACTGAGTGATGGGAAGATAGTCTATTAATGAAATGGCTCTACAACATCTGGATATCCATGTGAAAAAAATGAATTTCAACCCTGCTTTACACCTTGTGTGATGTTAATTCATAATGGAGGATAGAAAGCTACGTGATATAGCTACAGCTGTCAAACTCTTAGTCAAAAAACAGAAGATCTACATGACTATAGGGAGGGTAGTGAATGATTTCTTGGATAGAATATAAGAAAAGCACTAATCAAAAGTTCTTGAAAATAATCGTTTGGACTTCTTCAAAATTTAAATCATCTCATGTGCAAAATACATTGATATGAAAATGGAAAGGCGATCCCCAGATTGGAGAAAATAGTGGCAATACATCTGTCTACCAAACTATTTGTATTTGAAATATGTGTGTGTATATGCATATATTGTATATAACATACAAAACTTCAAACTTCAAAACTCAGTAAGAGGGATGATCAAATAGAAATGACCTGTATTTGTCCAGTGCTAGCTGGTGATCTTCAATTGCCTAAATGACCTCTTTGAGTTTCATCATTAATGAGGATAGTAGTAAAGGGTAGAGAATATAAGACATCTTGTATAACATCAGGCCTACAGTGAAGGTTCAATAATTTTATTCCAAACAAATAGTTGTGTAAGATCCTGTGTAGGCTTGTATTCATGTGGCAGACCTACTATCAGAAATACCATTTGTGGTACTATTATATCGTCATTGTTTTTGCATTTATAGTTTTGTTAGCCCTTATTTAGGGCTGACATCTTCCTTATTTAGGAAAGTCATCTTCCTTATTTATGAAATTATAATTTCGTAACATTGGGTGTCAACTACACTCAAAAAAAAATTAGAATTATAATTTCATCCCATGTTAGGGGCGCCTGGGTGGCTCAGTCGGTTGAACGTCTGACTTTGGGTCAGGTCATGATCTCGCAGTTTATGAGTTCGAATCCCACATTGGGCTCTGTGCTGACAGCTCACAGCCTGGAGCCTGCTTCGGATTCTGTGTCTCCCTCTCCCTCTCTGCCTCTTCCCCGCTCATGCTCTGTCTCTTACTTTCAAAAATAAATAAACATTAAAAAAATAATAATTTCATCCCACATT